TCCAGAAGTAAATCCAAGTTGTTAAGCCTAATTTTAATCTGAAACTAACTGGGTTCTTTATGATAATGCATTGGATAATAAAAGGTCATTTTCCATAGTCAATAATATTTTTTTTCTTTTAATTTGCAGGCTGATAGCCGCATTTGTTGGAAGGATCGTTATTGGGTAAAGGTAAGCACTCTTACATGATAAAACTCAATCGCTCATCTGTAAGCTTCTTTTCCTCCCAAAAATAATGCTACCAAACATGCCTACAGACATGTAAACTAAAATATTGAGCCAAATTTTAAATTAGACAGAAACACCATTGTAGAAACTCAGTTCCAAAATCTATCTTCATATCGGCATACAATTAGGAGACGTGCTTTCCGGTTTTATGGAAAAGGAAAACCAACTTTTTCATTTCTGAAGTTATCTTATGAACGAACTCTGCTTTTGCGCTATATAGACTTTACACCATGTAACAAAAGATAAACGATGAAAGTCCTAATTTTTTATAGGAGGAAGCATTTTGATAATGCTTCAAAATTAATTGTTATCAGTGTTTTGCATCAGTCTGACTACAAATTGATGTTGTGACAGGCTAATCTCTGGATCATAGTTTTCAGTTATGTTGGAAATTACTTTTGGACCCACTATTTTTTCACCGTCTTGGGCGCTTCCTACACCTTTCCCTCCTGGAAGATGAACAATGTAAGGCGTGTATTTTATATTCATTTCCACTCATTTGTGATAATTTCTATTTCATTTTCCTTTGAATGTGACTATAAAGTTTTGCAGGTACCACACACAACTTTCCTTCTCACGCATGTGTGCTTCTTGTTTTACCACGTTTCATCAAATATGACACTTCGTAGGCTTCAACATTCTATTGATCACTTGCCAGAGAAGACACAATGGCTTTTTAAGGGTGCCTGGATTCTAGCTTTTTCATATTTTATAGCATATCTTGAGACCGTTGCTATTTCAAACGTAAGTAGTGAAGATATTGTGAAAAAAAGAATTCTTTATATCCAAGTGCCATTTTCGATAATATGTTCGTCTTAACTTTGAAACAATTTCAGCGGATGACTTGCATAATATGAGGCTTGTTAAGAATTATCTTTTTTTTTTTTGGTCTGGTGCAGTTCCCCTATTACGAGTTTGTGGACCGGGCTTCCATGTATAAAGTTGGATCCTTGTTTTATGCGATTTATTTTATGGTCAGCTTCCCAATGTTTTTAAGGTATGTAACTATATCCAGACAATCCACCACCTCAGCCCACACCCCTCTACCCCACCACAAAAAATAAAGGAGATATCTATTCATGCGTTTGTCATGATATACTAATTCAAGCATAATTCACGGGTATTTGCTATGGGCATAACTTCGGGTGATAGAGGTAACACCATAACAGTGCCTTTTAGTGTTAGTCTTGTTGAAACTGAGCCCCGAGCCCTTATTCACAAAATAATTTGATTCAAAACAATAAATTAACATTAATAGGAAGGGAAGAAAAAATGTTGGGATTGGCCGTATTTAGGATCTGATGTACAAGATAATTTTTCGGAATATGTATTCTTTTGGGCTTTTGATTGGGTTTTTTTTTTTTTTAAGGGGAGGTGAAGAAGTTATTGTAAAACATGATTGAGAAAAATGGGATATAGAAGAAATTAATCAAAAGATTTTCTGGAGGATGAATAAAGTAGGATTCGCAATTGCATTATATATGAATCAAGTTTAAACCACTTCTAAGCACAAGTGGTGAAGTAAAAAAATCCTTGCTTTCATATCAATAAATAGATAAGAAAAATTAAAATCTTTAGAAGTAGAGTGTATTTGAAAGATAAGCTTGCATTTAATGATTGTATTGCTCATATTAACTTATTAAGCAGCACTTGAAAACTATCTTCTTTTGTTGCTGGCATTTGCAATTATATACAAATTAGTGTGCCTGAGTTCTTTTTCTATCGTTAACAAGAAATTCCTAGATGAAAAGAATCGTGTATTTGACCAAAATGTGATTAATCCCGACTAAAAGGATTTATCATGTATTGTGGCTGCATGTTCTAGCCTCTGCCTGCCTCCACTTTTTGTGAGATTAAAATCCTGTTTTTTTCTGTTCCTAAGTGGGTGTGGGTCCTAGTGTGAGAATTGTGTGAGAATCAAGTCTAAAAAAGGGCGGCCGTGGGCCCATTTGGAAGTGGCAACAGTCAATAAATTGATATAAATCTTGTTGAAGAGCAAGAACAAGAGCCTAATGACATGTTTGGTAAGATGAATTGGACATTACTAGACTGTATTATGTAAAAAAAATATTTGACACTATATCCATTATACTATTCAGTCTTGTCCAGTTGTGTATCAGATATGCCTCGAAGCAATGATGCCATTGCTGTTTTACTGATGGTGGTTGTTCTCAATGCATAGGATTGATGAGAAACCAGATAAACAATGGGACTTGACCCGAGTGGCCATAGATGCTTTAGGTGCTGCAATGCTCGTCACTATTATACTCGACTGGTGGCGCATTTTTCTTGGCCCTATTGTCCCTATTCCAGATTCCAAGCAATGCCTTCAACCCGGATTGCCATGGCTTCCCGGAAATACCTGAGTTGATCGTCTGCATGATCCAGTAGAAATGAAAGTTTACATCTCTTCCCTGATTTCAGATGCATTTTGTTCGCTTCTTGTTGTAACTTTAGTCGAACATCCTCATCAGCATAGATGGCCAATCTAAATTTATCCTTTGTGCATGTTTGGTACATAGTACAAAACATGATTTATCACCCTAATGAACAAGATTTTAGTTACAAAAATACTATTTGGCGTTAGATGCAGCATGGGACATCAGGTTTGCTACAGGATAGAATGACTGTTCTTTTCGGCAGATTTTGTTTTTCCGACAAAGGCAACTTGACATTATGCTAATTTTAGTCTCTCATTCCTCTAATGCAACGGCAATTCCTAAAATAGTCTTTAAATACATCTCAAAAAGGAGTACAGTGCTTTTGAAACATTCTGAATGCGTTTGGTATAAGATACAGAACATAAGTCTTCAAATTTTCATCAAATATGACTCACCATCAAGAAAATAAGTCTCAAATAAATACTGTTACTTTAAATGAATGTTGTGTTAAAAGAAAGAACGAAACAAAATTGTTCTCACAAGAAAAGTTCATAATATTAGGAAAAAGAATATTCAGTCATCAGTTAAAACATTCTTACTTGGCCAACCAAGGTAGCTCCTCGCTATCTTTGAGTGCAAAAATCACATCATCACCGTCAACAACAACAATAATAATCACAATTACTACGTGTTCATCGATGAGAACACAAGTATTCTACGTCTGCCATGCATAAGAAATGAACTCAAATTCCGATACCAGCACGCCCTTCCCCCTCAACAACAGAGAAAAATTTTCACATACAACAATGAATTATTAACTACACCGACCTTGAAAAATTGAGTTGCAATTTCTGCAATTTGTGCTTTGCAGCCTGCTCACACAGTAATATCCTGCACTCTCCAAGCTTGCATCTGGCCATTAAAAAATAAAAGAAACCAACACAATTAATTATTAAGTAATTGAAGTTCTGAACCATTTAAAGTAGATAACGTCCGTTTGATTGGAAGCTTATATTTATATCAAAATAGCTCGGTATCATTAGAATTACTGCACTAAATACTTGATTGTGTTTCGTGTAACAGGCAGAAGAAATCACAATGCATTCGACCAGGATATTTTTGTTTGAAGACCATCAGTTCTAAAGTCTGAATACAAATTTTCAATAAAAGCTATAAACACAACCAGGAGTGGGAGGAGAGTCTATAATGCAGCTTAAATGAACCGTAGAAAATGATTATGGATATCTAATGTAGTTTTACCCGACTTTCAGTAGTATGTCGTATCCTGGAAATGTTTCCCCGTTGCTTGTGCAGAAACACGAAACGGTCATTGCCAACTGCATGAAAAGAAGCATCCTTTAGACAACATTGCAGTGTTTCCAATCATTCCAACACCCCCGACCTAACTGGATTAGAAGGTAAGTGGAAAGTTTTCTTTTCTTTTCTTTTTTGGGAGGGGAG